AAGAATAATAGGAAGGGGAAAAAGAGGAGGAGTGTGTTATGTAGATAGGTTTTCAAGGGCCAGCTGCAAAGTTCTGATCTTCCTCTCATTGAATATCCAGGACCCTCGTGTGTTTTGTGTGGATTTAAAATACTAAATGCTATAAAGACCACACTACAAGTGACACAGTAGATACGATATGGAACAAAAGAGCCATTGGCAAAACTCTTTAATAAAAGGTCTCTTTCCTCTTTTAGAACCTGGTTTGGGTCCTGAATTTGCATGTCATCAGCATGCAGATGACCTCAACTGGAGAGGCAGAGGTAGACCTCAGTGATCTGAGCCTCCTCAGTTTCTCCAGAAAAGATCAAGTAATTTTAAGATAATGTAATACCTAACTACCAAACTGATTACTAACATAATTCAAACGTGGAGTCTGTGGTAGAGAGCTGGTTCCAACCTGTAACTGTTTGCTGCTGCATGCCATTCCACATAGGAAGAAGCAACATTTAGTGCACCTAGAAGTTCTGCAAGAGCAGCAACCTTGCACTATGGTAAGATGGTTAGCTGCTGCCCTGTGGAAAAGACCCTTTGGAGATTTTGCCCTATACCTTGACAGGGCCTGCTAGCTCTTAGCTCTCACTTTAGGCTTAGCAGGGCCTGCTGATTGGGTATTGTATTTTTCCTCTAGGATTGCTACTTAGTTCCTCATGGGCATTGAAAAATACCCCTATTTTTTCACCCAGTGAAACACCAAGTGGAAGTATTAAGTTATGATTTAGTTTGTTGAAGTTAGACAGGAAGCTCTTGCCTCTGGGAATGTTTTAAGAACTAAGCAGTAGAAAAATGAAATGGCATCACTAGGGGGCAACAAAACATCACTAACAACTATACTGTTAAAGGCTAATACAAACGATGTTACTTCTTCACTGAGGCTCTCCTGTAGTGACCTGAGGGAGAGCTTGTGTAAGCTTTTGTGTTTTTCCAACTGTGTTACATAATAAATCTTGTCTCAGAGATGATGGAGTTCTGAAAATTATATATAATGTGTGTGTATATATGCACACACACACACAAAACTTTTCATATTTTTTTTTACTGATTCATCCCCATTTTGGCTCAGTAAAAACACTAACAAGATAGGACATTTGCACCTGATTTTCTTTCCTCAACTTCATATATTTGGCACTAAGATTAAGCATAACAGATATCCTGTTAAAGCTCATCCACTTTGAACAAGTAAGTCAAATATCTTACTTGAAGTTACTGGTGTGACTCAAGGAAGTTCTACTGTCTCTCTAGGTTTTCAATCTTTCTTGACCTATGGGTTGCTAGCATTTTGCAAATTGTATACCTTTTGCCGTTAGCACTGTTATCCTTACTTATATCACCTTCTGCAGACCCAGTAGTCAAGCCAGTGCTCCAAACTGTGGGGTGGTTCTGGGATGGCACATTCTCTCCCATGTATTGCTGATGGAAAAAATGGATGCATCATCAGAAAGAGCTCCCCAGTGAGAGCTATCCATTGGGAATCTGAATCTGAAGGAACTTTCTTGTTGTCAGACATTAACTGCTATGTCTTACCAAGTAGTGTCTGTTCATTCATTAGGTTTCTAATGATGCTGATCTCTCACATGAAGTTCTCCCCATTTATTTCATACCCCGGTCTCCCAATTTGTAGGTAGCAATTCCATGTGGTGTCAGAAGACTAAAAGCTACTCATCCCAACTTTGAGCTCTCTAGAGTCAAACCACCTTTGAGGATTCCTAGGACTTGTACAAAGCTATTTTTTTTTTTAATTACATCTCTATTTTACCTTACTTTAGCTGTTCTTTTACATGCATCTGTTTACTGAGACACACTGTGGTAGAGAGGTCATAAACAAATGGAGCTGTAAGTCAAAATTATTTTGATAGAAATGCAGTGTAAACTGCCGTTGTGTCAAATTTCTCTAGGGAAATACTTGGAGGTAAGAGTGATCTGGAATGCGTTCAGTAGCACTGACCTCATTTTCTATCCCTTAGATCTTCCTGATGGACCTTTTCTGCTTCACTCCAAATTGTATTGCTCTGGGATTCTAATCCCTCGCTAGAGGCACCCATCTTTACAAGTTGGCTCTAGAAGAAGAATTACAAAAAATGCCTTGGGGACCTTATTCTGACTCTTATTCCCAAGTCATTTCCAAATAGGCCACCAGAGAGCAGCTTGCAAAACAAGCTGGAATATTAGGTTTGTACTGCCTGTGCTGCATGTCGGTGTAATCTGCAGAAATCCGTCAGAAGTTGGTAGCTAACCTGTTGCTTGTATGTACCATAAATGGTCTTTTCTCACGCTGATTCTATAAAGTGTGTAGTTCCTGGTATTGCTTGTCTGGCCAGGGCCTGACTGTAGGTTGGCCTCATAAATCGTATGAAATGATGATCTTACAAATCGTAATCTTTTTATACACAACTGATTCACGTAGCACATACTATATAACAACATGTAGAAAGCTCATAATGATAATGTAACTTACTCAAAGGTTACAAATTCCCAAAGTAAGGATTGTTGGGTTCTCTAGAACAGCAATAAAGCTTGATAAAAGTAAACACAGTTTGGTGATGTCTTAAGGAGAAGCTAGGTCAGTGAATTCTTCTGTGATTTGCAAGTTCTACATTTTGAGAGACTCCCATATGACCTTAGAAAAGTGTTTTTCAATGACTAGTTTTATATCTCACAAATTCCATCTTGCTGGTCTTGAAAGCCATCTAAAAAATAAAAAAGAACAAAAAAAGCCCTTTTAGAATTGCAGGAACTTCTTCTAGCAGAGACGTTCAGCTACTGATAGCTGTCTTTCTAGGTCAGGCCAGAGGTGGGTGTGATTGTTTAGGCTGACAGACCATCTAGTGTTCATAGCTGAATGGGATTGTCTGATCCTGTTAAATGTTCAAAAACATTTTATTTTTACCTTCCAAGTCTGCTTCCAGTTTCAGTTGAAGTCTGTTAGGTTACAGTGATAATGCAAAGGAATCCAGAGATAGTCCCTTTGGGCTACTAAAGTAGGAGGACTGAATGTGAAAACCAGAGACATGAGTAGAATAGAAAGCAAAAATACTCATCTTAAAATGAGATATTGTGTCCTTTGAACTTCCCTCTTGGATATGCGTTCTTTATACACATGGTAGGATTTTTGTTCTCATTCTGCTTCAGTATTCTTAATCTAACTTTTAATCGAAATAAAGGATGTCATCCTTTTATATGTCCCCAGGAACACTTTTTGTTTTTAAGTTATTTCTCAACATATACGACTGTAGCAAGAAGTGGCAAAATGTGTTTAAAAACTGCAGCATTTTCTCTTACATTGTTTTTCACTTCTGTATATGGACTGTTCATTTCAGAACTGTTACTGTTCTGCACACCAAATTTGAGTGACTTGACTGAGATTTTGAGGAAAAGAGGAATGATGCTGATGCGTTATGACACAAACTTTGAAAATTCTTTTTGGCATGCTCATTTAAAAAATATATATATGTTTCTATTGAAATCCAAAAAAGCATACTTGAAGATTTGAACAGGTCACATCCCTAGGTTGAGGAATATATTTGCGCGAACTGGTAAATTCAGCTCACCTAAGGTGCAGTATGTCTTAAAATAAAGCAGCTCTTCTCTAAATGCCCTGTAGAGTGGAACAAATCTGAAACTGCCTCAGTTCATGTACATAGATGCATCCTAAGGAGGCAAAATGAAGAGGTATATCTTTTTCTTTATTTGGAAACTTAGTTGGGTTTTTTTTTCCCACTAAAAATGTAGAATTTTTTAAAATCTTGAGGTAATTTTAGTATATCTGGTTTTGGCTGCCTTACTTGTGACTTTTAAAGAGATTTATGGATAGCCCTGCCAGATAACAATTTCTAATATAGTGGCTCCCCAAATACGCTTTTCAAAGACTCGGTGTCACACAAATGACAGGCTTACCATTTCCATTTAGCTGAGTTGTCCTGAGTTGGGTTGCTCTTTCCTCTATCTGTGCTAAAGTTTGAGTTGGTAATTAGTAACTGTAAGGCAGAAACTCCCTCTCCCTCTAAGCGTTTAAGCTGCCTCTTAGCTTTGTGAGTGCTTCTAGTCCACTTGAGGATAGTTAATCCATTTGAGTATGGACCCAGTTAATAGTTAGTAGACTCACCTGACCACTGATTTGTCGTGAAATGTATTACAATCAGGATTTGCAATCAGGATAGTATTCTTACAATCGGGAACAACAAAGAGGAGGTCTAGGAAGCTGGCAGGAGCACATTGGTCTGTCTCAGAGAAAGTTAACCTGATAACTGATTATGAGATGCTTCTGATCTGTTTCAGGGTAGCGACAAACAGACGAATTAAAATCTTTAGTGAAGATAATTTAACTCACCAGTTTGTCTTTGCCCAGAGACAACTGCGTGAGGGATCCATACAATTAATAGCAGCTACTAACTGCATGTAAGGTACTGTTCTTTAGCTGTTCTTTTTATCTCTGTTGCTATTTAACTCACACGGATTACATGGCAAATTCTTATCCTGTACTGTCCAGAGCTAAGATTCTGATCTACTGCCTTTACATCACAAGGTACAAGGTAGTGGCTCAATCTTACAACTAGAGCCCCCATCCGTTTCTTCAGCCGTGGTTCTCTAATGATGCTTAACTTTAGTTTTAGCACGTACTAGCATGTTTCACGAGTAGAACATACCATCGTATGTTCTAGCTCAAGACAGAGTTGTCTTTGTAGAAAAGCTCCAGGTACTGTGCTGAGCGCAGCCTAGATCTAGACTGAGTAGGTCACTGAGTGCAGCTTTGTTAAAAAAAGTATACCTTAAATAGTGAAGCAAAGTCTGCAGCCTACATAAAATAGGGAACTGTCTCCCATTCTTTAAAATTGCATTTCATTTATAGTTAATGCTATTTAGAAAACAATTACTCTAAACCGTAGGGAGATCTGAAAACTTTAAACAGGAAGCTTCCCTGCTGAAGCAGATCTTTCACTTCTCCCCAGAACAAACCCGCATGCTCTACAAAAGCAAGAACAACAGCTGGCTGATTAATCAACAGGCAAGAGCCTGCTCTAGGAAGATCAGGTTACAATTCTGTCTTTGTAGCTTTACACCACACCCCCACATATAATCTTCAATGTGAATTAGTGGAGGAGAATCACGTTCAGCATTGCTTCAGGAATTCTCTCATTCTTTCTTCAAGAACTGTTTCCAGGAGCTTCGTGAGTACTTTGTAAGTGACTTTCAGTTTTACATGAGTGATTTTTTTTTCTTTAGCTGAAAGAAAGGAATATCTGCTGTTATGTTTTCTTTAGAAGGTTAGATGCAGTAGTCAGATGTTTAGATTCAAAGTCCAGCACGAAATGCTGCAAAAATATTTTTTTCCTGTAAAAATGTGAAACAATAGTGAAATGAATGTAGCTACTAACAGAAACGCTGTTTGGCTCTGAGAATGCCAGGCTAAGATATTTTGAACTCCAAGGAAGCTTAAGCTGTTTGAAAGAAAGCTATCAAAAAGTGAATGTGCTAATTGTGTTCCATCAACTAGAGTTTAGTGAAACTCTCATTTTTCAAAACAATACTTCACTGCAGTAACTTAAAGGGAAGCCTGGTTCAGGTGAAATTGTCTACCAGGTTTTGCAAATCCTTCTAAGGCATATAACATTTGAAGCAGTTAACATTTTGAGAAGTACCAGAACATTTTAGGTAAAATAAGTTAACCTGATGTTAGTACAAAGCAGTTTCACTCAGAATGTTTACTGAAATTTTCAGGAAAATAAGAACATGTGAGAAAGGAAGGGGACAATGAATGAGGCTTACAAACCTTGGTGCCGATTTAAAATAAGGAAACAAGCAGAAAATCGTCTGTGGGGTGGGTTGTTTTTTTTTTTTTGGTCAGATTTTACTTGTAAGAATCAGCATTGATTTCAATTCCAGTAACTATGTAATGAAAAACAGTGATACTAGCCTGTTGTTAAAATATGTAGCTAAAATTTAAATAACCATGTTTTGGAAAATCTAAATACAACTTACATAAGGAGAAAAAGGTACGTAACAGTGGGAAAACTGGACTAGGGAGAACAATAACGATGACGATGGGGGGAGTGTGTGAAAGGTCAGTGTGACTCAGTACTCTTAGAAATTAGGCATCAAAATACTTCATGGAAAACATGTAAAGATATAAACCTTCCTTCCTGCATCTCTTATGGACAGATGTAAAGACAGGAAGTCTAGCTGCCAGTTTGCCTTTCTCGTTGTAATCTTCTGCTCATTTCTTTAATTCTACTGTGAGAGAGCCCATTGACTGCCTGTGAAGGCAGGAAATATCTATATTCTTAGTAAATTTCATTGGATTTTTGTTTAAACGAAACTTGAGGGCTGTAATCATTAAGTAGTTTACTTGCTGTATAATGCTTGCAGTTAGAGCAGTGTTAAGGAGCTAAAGATGACTAAAACACAGTCTGCTCTGGCCTTTCTTCCTGTGAAATATGTCCCACATGAAACAGTTCGTAGAAAGTTTAGTTATGTGGGCAGTTGCTTGGTAAATCCTTAACTTATGCTGGGGGATCCCTGAGTGTGCTTTAGATTGACTTCAGGTAACCTTCGTGTTTATCATTGCACTGTATATCTCCAGATTACAAACTATATAATACATTATATCTCAGCTGTCAGCATAGTTTTATGACCTTCAAAGTCCATCAATCTTTTAATGCAGTACCCATGTTTACTATGTTGCTAATGAAAATTCACTTGTAACTCATCTAACTAAACTTCTAAATGTAAAAAAAAAAAAAAAAAAGTAAACTAAAGTTTTATGATTTTGACTGAGGACAGTTTGAACAATTAATGATACTGAATTTATCTATTCTCCTTAATCTCATCAGGGAGTTAATATCAAAAGTCTACTGATGAAAACTCCTAAGTTGTTAGCTGTTCTAGGATTGAGTGTCAGATTGGGACGGAGGTGAGACTGTACAAAAGGGAGGCAGAATTTTTGTCAGAGAGGAAATTTTAAAAGATTGGAGAAAAGGTAGTCCAAGATATTGTATGTTTATGGAACAAAGCAAATGTCTGATAGTACAGGTAGCAGTTGCAAAGGTGTAGAAGAAGAAGCTTCTGAATGGGCTGTCAGAGAATATACCCAGAGCATTTAGCTAGTTTTAAATCTCACCTCTGGTTAGACCAGACCAAAGTCAGTGTAGGGGAATTTCTGGATTCCAAATCTAGCTTCAAGGGCTGTTTATATGTTTTTCCAATAACTATTTCCTGTTAAATGCATGAACTCTTGGAACAAACGTTAGCGTTTAGGCTGGTTAGTTGTTTTTTCCCTTGAGTATAGGGGCACTGATATCTTTTATGCTACTTTTCTGTCTCAACGGATCTTCAATTCCTTTCTGCACAGAGAGAACACGGACTGCTCTCACTAGTAGCAGCCTACAGCCATGGAGTGAGGACAGTTTCTGTGATTATGAATAACAAATCCTTTCTGTCCAAAAAAGAAATTGACCCTGCGTCTTTCACGTTCTGGGAAGCTATTCTAACATCTTCATTTTAACAATGATTCTAACAGTAACTCCTCCTTTTCTGCGTTTCACAATGAAGTGGTAGCTGGTTGAAGTGTTTTGTAAGTATCATGATTTTGTTGGTGTGCGTTCAGTATGTTCTGAGAATGTCTGCCAAAGTGAGTCACAGCATGTGCAAGAAACAAGAAAGGAAATTTTGGAATAGGAACGTATAACACCAGTAGAGCTTAGGAGTTTCAAGAATCAGCTGACTGTTGTGTATATCAATTCTGGAGCACGCTTTTCAAAATCTGTGTAATTCCAACAGTATGTAGTTACTATTGCTCTTTACTTGGGCTGATTTTTGAACAGTCATCTTTTTTCTCTCAGAGCTAGGACATGTGAAAGTTCCTTAAGGAACCAGAACTGGATAGCTGTTTTGGCAAGGATTTCTGTGAGCTGGGATCTGGATATCTAAGGCTTTTCTTTACCACCTAAACCAAGGAAAACGGTAAAGAGGCAGCACTGCTATCCTAAAGAAAGGACAAACTACTCACTTCTGTGTGTTTCTTACGAAACTGTTTACTTCACAATAGATGATGGGTCAGAGTATACCTGGGGACTGCCTGAAGCAAAACTGATTCCTTTCCTGACATAGTTATTTCACAGAGAAATACTATTGTTAGTCCTTTTAATTTTCTCTCACGCCTTCTTTGTTCTATTTCCTTTAACTGCTTCCTATTATTGTCAATACAGTTGTTCATTTTTCATCTTTAGTGCTGTTGCCACCTTTCCTGATGTGTGCCATACATGACGGATTATACCTCTGAAGTAAATAGCAATCGCAGCAAGTGTTTAGAAATACAAGTATCGCATGAAGGAAATACTTAGCTGATACAGTTTGTATGAACTTAACAGAAAGGTCTGCAGCAGTTTATTAGCATTTTCCATAAATGTTTGTACTTCCTCTTTGGCTGAAAAGCAATCTTTTCCCTCTATATTTGTACAGCCTCTAACATAATGAGGTTCTGGCCCATGGCTTGGGCTTTCATCCATCAGAGAAACATTATTTGGAAAACAATAAGAGACAGAGAGGTAGAGGGGAAAGGTCAGGCTGAAGTTTTCTGTGCTCTTGGAGTCAGCTGATAAATGCTCTAAGTGCACAGAAGCTGGTAGTGCCACGAGAATAAGCAGTACTCTCCTCCCCTGTCCCACCAGTGTGGGACACTGTCCCACTCCCTTTTCCCCTTCCTTCCTCCTGTTCTGCCTCCTCCTTTATGTTAGAAGCAGTAGGTGAACATGCTTCAACGCTCCAGCCAATTTTTTCAGCCACAAATGAACAAGACTAGGTTATTGTTATTGCTGGGGGTTTTATCCCCTCTGGTCTTTGTTGAGCTGACATCAATTCCCCATCCACTTTGTCACACTGCTGAAAGTACAGATAGACAAGACAAGGGAGAAGCCTGTGTGAATGCCAAATCAGGTGGCTGGAGGTAAAGGGATCGTGGCAAGTTTGTGTTGGTTTGTGCGTTGCAGGATGAGGGTCTAAGGCAGACTGAATCAGGGTGTATTCCCACTGGTGACAGAGCAGTTCTAATGTGTGATCATGCATCCATTGCAGTTAACATTCATATGGTGTATCCAGCTGGGAGGGATAGACAGGCTGAGCTAAACTTGCTTCACAAAGCAAGGAAACTGTTTATTTTGATGTTTGGTATGTGTGCAAAATACAATCTATTTAAACATGAGGTTGCATAAAGTTAATAATCACATATGCTCAAAATTAGTCACAAGAGGCATCAAGTAGGACAGGTAGTTTCCTCCTGTGCCTGTCCTTTATATTGTCAATAACTGACAGCTTCACTTTAGTGTATTACATTTCTGTCGTGTGTACAATGTGAAATTGCACTCAAATGAGTTGATAACAAATATACTCTATCTACGACTATTTATTAATAAAAGTATATATGTACTATTCTTTGCTAGTCAATACTGCTGACAAAAATGCAGGTTACAGACTTTATAGTACTACCATTTGCTATTGGGGCTGCCGTGCTGTGTTCCTAAAAGCATAACTGGTATTACTGCTTGTCTGTATTATTTCTTGCTTTTGTGCTCTGAAGGTAGCTGTTACTAGGATGCTGAAGGCATTCACTTTTTGAATATAGAATTACGTGACCTGTGACCTTGCTACCACCATGCAGTTTTTGTCCAAGCCTAAACGCTGTGCACCGTTACGTGGTGCCTGTATGCATCTTTCTGTGTTTAGTTTTCCAGGTCTGTTGAGCACAAAGAGCTAATGATATTTTGCCCGAAATGTAGCATTTACTTAATTTTAATTTATCTGTTTTGATACCTCTTATCTTGCTGTTGAAGAGAAGCAGTACAGTTTCCTCTACCCTCTGCCCTCACCCCCCTAAATGATGTAAGCTGATAATTTGTTTTAGTCCATATTTAAAAAAATTTTTGGTAGAAAGAAATTAACATTTCCTTTTCTTATTGAAAGTGAAGTCACAATGGAAACAGCATTACATATGTTAAGTGGAGATTTGCGTCAAACTGGGATGTGGCACGTGAGATGCAGTTGTCACTTCTAAAGGAATAACTGACTTGGTAATTCTTTATTTCTTTGTGACTCAGTCTTCTATAGGGTGGAAACTGAAATTCAAAAAATGTACTCCATATGTGGACCTCTCTCCTTTATGATGAGCTAATATTTGGTCTTTTACCT